GTCCCTTCAATGGTCTATTCATACGATATAGTTCCCTGGTAAGAAAACTGAGCATGTCATAGACTAGAAAGGAGGAACACCCACGATGAGAAGGCGGTTCAGAAAATATGGGAAGTACTCAAAGGAGAGAGCCAAACATAGTTGGGTTGCAGCAGTTCTAGTGAAAAAACATACTCACTTTCACAACTTTGCTAGTGCCAACTTTTCGTTCAAGAGACAAAATAAGTGCCTCGCAGCTCTGCCGGGAAGCCAGCAGAAGGTCCTGCGAGCAGGCCACTGATATCATGGATCTCCCCCAAAACTTGCAGGTATTAGCAGATATTTACGACGCGGAGCATGTTACTGTAAAACCTCCATACTGTGAATGCATCAAAAACCGCGAAGCAACCTAGATGACGGTGACAAGATCAGTCTATATTTCTTCATATATTAAAAACAAAGAGCCTTTTCACTTCGGTTTTGCGCTCGGAGCCTAACGTTCCTAAAGCTTGAGCTAGTCGAACTATGACCCTTCAACAGCCTATAACACTGAAAGTTCTGAAAGCCTTAAAATATTTTATCCGATTAATTTTGTCTTAGCAGATTGCAACTTCGGAAGCCACCAGGCTTGAATGTCTCACCAAGTAGGAGACATCTATAAGAAGTGGGCACTTACTGCTGACTGTTGCCAACTTGACTGGAGTCAAGGCCCTCTTGGCGACGGCGCCCTTGAAGCGCCGGCATGGCACCCCAGTCACACTCCGCCCATGCAGGTTCTCCCTGCCGAAGACCAGCTTCGTGGCCTCTTTAACGAACATGGAGTCTCCCCGGGCTCCCATGACGTAGAACAGTTTGTCCTTTTGTACCAAGACATCATGGCCAAGGCTATCCTTGAAATACATCCGTGAAATACATCAGGTTAATTAGCATATACCACATAACTCTGATGCTACGATGGCCCTTTGGATGGAGGGACTAGATAAATAAGTTTCTTAACAGATTGATTGCGATGAATTTTCGTGCACTTTTTCCTTATAGCTTGGATGCCTTACGACCTAGACCAGAGGTCCCCAAACCGATACGGCCTGCGAAAGTCTTCGGACCGGCCCGCCGCTCACCACGATATTTCAACTCAAGCCCGGCTTGCGTCCCACTTGCAGCAGAGCCGCTGTTAGCGGCACAGAAAGAGGGTGCGCATAAAGAAGTGACGGCGCGACGCACTCTAAATGCACAAACTGAGATACCATAAAGAATGAAAGAAACTGCATTGCAACAAGGGTCCTCCCACCATATGATAATTTAACATTGTTATCACTAGCATTACCGTTCTTAGCCCCCGTTTCATGTCTGTGTAACTATATTAAAATTCCATTGCATTATCATAGACATTGTGCTTACTGCCCTCTTTCATAACTATTGCATATTTAGTTTATCATTCTCCTTAGTCTCTTGCACTGCGTGAATGTGCCAAAGTTCCCATGCGCTTTCATTTATGCCTGGTGAGTTTTCATAGTCACAACAGTTATGTAATGTCAAATTCGGTAAATATGAAATGGTAATTTGATGTATACATGGTCATCAATCCTAGAGTTTTTTTAACACTCAGAGTAATTCTGTGTTTAAATATTTATTTACCCTAAAATACCAAGCATGCGCCCCCAGTCGTGGAAGTGCCCCTTCCCGTTTTACGAAAATTTGAGTTTCGCAAAAAACCTAACAGGCGCCCCCATCAACCTCCCAGAGGCGTTTTCTTTTCCCTTCCATGGTAAGTTGATTTTTTTGTCCTATTACATATTTCAGTGTAAAGTTATCCCCAAAAATTGGATGTAAGCGATAATTGATGGTGTTATAATGGAGAATCCAATACAATTCAAGCCAAGCTTGAAAATGCGCGCGACGTTGCCCGTCACATGCACAGGCGTGAGCGCACCAATTCGTCGCATTCTTTTGGACTGAATCATGTTCGGATCATGCGGCCGTCTCGTCTTTGTTTAGCCATAATTTCCACACGGTGCAAAAGAAGATCAAGGTGGTAGAATGGCATCGGAGAAATGGAAAGAACGTCCACTTAACCACTCGCCAATTTAAGCTCGACCGCACGAGAATCCGCGAGTGGGAAAAAAGCTTTGAAGTTCTGTTGCAACAGAACTTCGGCAAGTCGAAGCTCCGGCAAAAGCTGAGTAATGGAGCCCCAGTGTTCAGCGAAGAAGTCGACGATGCCCTCTTCAAGTTTCTGAAGCTCGAAAGGATTGCGGGACGTGCTTCCGGCAACAGACTTTTATCCGAAGAAGCCCTCAGGATCGCAAGCCAGCTGCAGCTCGGGAACTTTGTACCTTCAAGCCAGTATCTGAAGCGATGGAATCAGCGCTTCAATGTTTCCATGCGGCAGGCGACCAATGACAGCCAGAAGGTGCCCGAGGAGTGTGCTGACGCGGCAAAAGCATTTCGCTCCGGTGCATTTATGACGAAGACGTCATAAACGTGTAGCTCCACTCGGTGTCCGCAACGCAAGTTTTCAGCACCGCTGACATCAAAGTTTTGTCGAAGTGGCGTTGGACAAAAAAGACATCAAAATCCCATCTCTGAGTTTTGAGCAAACAGACACATCATCCGTGTCTGTTCACATCGTTTGTGTCTGCTGTGCTTTTTATTCTACAAGACCGCACTTCAAAGATTCAAGTGTATTAGATCAACAAACTCTCCTGTTTTAGAAATATTTTACAAACCTCGTTTACCGACGCCACATCAGGTGTACATAAATAGCCGCAAACCAATGTGATTGTTTTCCAGCTTTCCAAAGTATTTAACTTATTTTTTTTAAATATATGACGTTAAAATGAGAGCTCTCTGGAGCTTACAGTTCTTTACCGTTAACCATACGCACCTTCAATTATTGTTGGTGGCATGGATTATTAAAACTCATTTTTTTGCCTGGCTTAACAGCCTTGGTCGTCAGCATACATTGAACTGCTTCCGTATCTAGACGAACGCAGGCCGAGACTACAACGTGCATAAAATTAAAAAATAATCAATAAAAAGTTGAGAAACAAATTTGGTACAACACCGTGAAAAGATTATGGCCCAGTTCAACAGTTGTAAATGACTTCACGCTGCGCAATAACGTCCACGTGTTGTCACCGATTGCTTCTGTCAAAAATCTCAAACAACAAGCTAAAAAAAAAGTGAACCCTGTTTACGTAATTGAAGGTTTATCGCTAAGGAACGCAGCAACGCTTTGACATCGCATCTCTCGCACGAAGTGCGGTCACTTGTTTACATGAGGTCTTTGTCCGTCGGGTCACCAGTTTCGTTTTCTCGCTGCTAGCAAGATCGCAGGCGTAGTTCTCGGCGCTCTACATTTTGCATATGGTCTATTGCTGTATCGTTCTTTACACTCTAGTACCCCTTGCGCTACGTGTACCAGTTAACAGAAAACACTGTATAGGTAAATGAAACAGTATGATGAAATATTCTGTATAAAGAATACTTCTACGTTAGTTAGAAAGCAAATTACGGTTATACTACTTTGCAACCAGTGTACTTTCTACCTTAGCTGAAGTACAGTTGCCAGCAAAGGTTTGCGAGGCGCGGGAGCGTCAGCCAAAATGACTGGTTACGGCTTCAGACGGTGCGGGGCCGCTCTCAAGATTCACAGTTCGAAAATGCGCTTCCTTGCGTGCTCAAAGTTATGTCTGTTTTGCTCGCTTCCGCCTGACGTGCACACGATAACCGGGACCGGCGCAAGGTGCCGCTATGACAGCCATCATGTCCCGCGTCTGCCCCAGCCACCGTGATGGGCGACGGAGCTCGCGCATGCTACAGATACCATTTCGCGGCACCTTGCGCCAGTCCCTGCTATCTCGTGGGTGTCGAACGGAGCGAGTGAAAAAAATCATTTTTTTTAGGCGTCCGCTAGTCGGTAAATTGGTAACTGCTTTTGAATCAAGCACGCTCCGGCACATTATAATTCAGAAAAGAAAAACGTGCCGCCGGCACGGTGTTTTAAACCACAACTGTTGGTGTCGAAGCCGGGCATCGTACCCGCTTCCGAGCACACATAGCTAAGCATTTGCAAAATAGTTACTGAGTGCAGGCAAGAAATAAGTTTATGCACGTGCCAGTGCTTCAACGCCAATGTTGCCATAGCAATGGCAATGTGTGTAGAATCTGGTCGCAGTCACACATAGCCACAGCTGAGGAGGGCTGTGAACCCAACTTGAGCATCATGTATCGTTGTCAATAAGCGAAACAAGGTCTCGCCAGAGACACGTCTACGCAAGTGTGCTGAGGCACAGCGATAGCGAAGTGCCTAGGACACTTCGGAAACATGTTTGTTGGAAGTTAGACAGGCAAGTAGCAACAAGAGGACCATTGAAGTGGATGAAACGGTTCAAGAGAGGTCACTTCGGCTGCAACGCAAGCAGGACGCCAAACATACAAGGACGTCTTGCAATACTGAAGAAGAGATGCAAATTCGAGTACAGCGAGATTGAGACTTAGAGCAATCAAGGACATCTCGTAAAACTGAAGAGGGTCAACTTCATTTACAATGCGATCGAGACACCAAGGAGGAGAGTATGTGTCTTGAAATTGAAAAGGGACAACTTCGGCTACAGCACAATCAAGACCAGGAGTGGCCAAGCTGCGGCTCTTTGCGTGTTAAAGTGCGGCTTGCGGTCTGCTTTCATAGAGCGTACCTACCCTCCGGATCTCTGTATCAGAATAGCAAGCAATTAAAAAAAATGTCTATACAAATAGCCCTGACCAGCCATAATGAATGGACACAATTACTCATGAAGCGAACAAAATGCAAGATATTCCTGAGCATAACCGAGCAATTTTACCCACAATTACTGCCCACTGGGGCCATATGTTGGGCTTTTGTGTCCTATTTTCCAAAGGTAATGAAAGTGAAGTCTGCAGCCGATTTGAAAAAGGGGCACAAAAGACCAACATAAGGCCCCTGGTTCTGAACAGAGTTGAAGAATGAGGTAATAAAACAGCCTAAGGCGCACATATACCTCGAACTTTGAGTTCAAAATCATGGGGATGGCCATGTGCTTTTTCTTCAAGGCTGCAATCAGTTCATCTCGTGTCTCTGTAAAAAAAAACAAAAAAACATGCACATTGAATTACGTCTCAAAGTCCTTGCGTTTGTCCCCCTTCCCCATCCCCCCCCCCCCCCCTTGTATCCGGGTTTATAACTGTGGCCGTTCACCAGCTAGCCTGCGCTATAACTCTTATTTCACAAGTCTTTTCCTTGAAACTTTTACAAATTAAATGCACCACCTAGTCGAACTTACCTGGTAACTTTGTCGTAGCTTACACAGCCGGCGTGTTACGATTTATTTTAAATGTCGCGGCTGCCATCTGGACCACCCTGTAGTTCAACAATGTAAAACCCCTTGCTTTCGTCACCCAGTTCTTTGAAAATCGGGCGCAGGGTCATATTCGTGCCTACCCAATTTCGCGAATTCTAGACGCCGGAACGGGGGACGCCAGAACGGGAGCCCACCAAATTTTCGCTTTCCACGTATCCCTAAATTTCGCTTATTTTAAGAACGCGTGAAATTCCCCAAAAATTCGGGGGTCGCGAGCATTAACGGTTAGCAGTAAACGTCGTCCTTCGAGGCCGTAATGCATAGAAAACTTCTTACCACAAAGGATCTGGATCTTCGCTTTATGGTAGCCCTCCCCGGCGCACGCTCCAGTGGACTTCCAATAGACGCTCTTCAGAACGTCGGGGTCTACACTCGCCGGCTTAAACTTCTTTATGCAGTTCACACTAACAATAGCCTTAGCGCAATCAAGGTAAATAACGTAAGCGTAAAACATGTCGACTCCAATGCTCCGGTCGAGATAACCCGAACGTGTCTTCGGCTGCTTTGGTCCAGACACTGATCGCAATGGTCCAGAGCTGCCAGAGCGTCCAGAGCACTGGCCAGCTGGCGTGGGTGGCGTGGTACGTAAAGGTTGGACTGGATTGAACTAACATTCCCTGCCTTGGTTTATATTAATACTAATATTACTCATATAATTTTAAAACGTTTAAAACGATCAAAAGAATTTACCATGTTTAGTTTATTTGTTGTTAAAAAAAAACATTGTTTGTCCGGCGTTGGTGTCTGGCTTGCAGCTATGAAAGCCAATCCAATCCGATCTGAAATAAACCGAAACCAAGGTAATTTTTGCTGAAATTCGGAGAATATTTGAGTGGGCTTTTTTCCAGTAGGTATCAAACTGATATCGGTCATATGTGAGAAACAAAATTGTACAGGCGGCCGCAGTACAGGTGGTACAGGGCTCCAAACTATACAAATAAAAAAAAACTCCCGTTTATCTCGGTTTCGCTTTCCATGACTTTGGCTCTTTCAGAAAAAACAAATCGTATATGCGTGTTTTTCGTGCTCAAGGTGTGACGAGTGCTAGTTGCTAGTCGGGTATATTCGAGGCCACGACAATGGAATAAGCGCCCAAGAGAAAGCGTAGGAAGAACTGTTTAGAAAAGGGTGAGCCGTTCATAATTCCGAGTTCAACTAAATGCCGCAACCGGACCGAGCGAGGTCGTTGCCTGGAAGGAAGCAGTGCGCCCGGCGGCGAGGCTTCACCTTCTCCTTCTACGTCTGGATACGGGCAGCCCACATTGTCCCCTTCCGACGACCCTGCCGAAGAACTCAATGACCAACTCGAAACTGGTGCTTGCTTTGTTGAGTCATTAGATGAATGGAGCAACATGGAGACATAACTTGATCATGGCGATTCCTGCCAGCAGGACATCATCAATGAAGAACATGACGTTCCCGGCAGTGTGTCGCCCCCCGCTTACGATGAAGCACAACGTCTCGCCGACAGCTTTGCGGAATACGGCAATTCCACACTACCTCACTCAACGACAACCAAAGCAGAGGCTGTTGCCCTCATTATGTCCTTCCTGATGTCGGAAAACTTGACTTGGTCAGCGCTGGACAAACTACTGCGTATGGTAAACGCAATGTTCGGTGTTGGAAGTGACGTGCTTCCGCGGAGCAAGTACCTATTCCGGAAGCTTTGAGCGCCCAAAACTGAACGTGTGGTAAAGTACCATACTACTCTAAAGCCTGCGGATCGTTGCTTGATTCAAGCGAGCATCAAAGCACCCAAGTCTGTGGTAAGGGTGCAATGGCATGCGATCTTGCAAAGGCCAAAAGCGATGGTTGCTTTTTCATCACAATGGGTTTCCAACATCAAATACAGCAGATAATAAGTGAAACAAATCAAGTGCTTTACGAAAACTTGGTTAAGCTCAGGGAAGAAGCCCAGGCACCCTCTGATATCATTCGGGACATTACAAGCGAAGCAGCTTACAAGCACCTCCAGCAGACGGGTGTGCTTGAGTGGACTGACCTAACTATCACGTTTAATACGGACGGCAGCCCATTGTACAAGTCTTCAAAATCCTGCGTCTGGCCAATCCAGCTTATTATCCATGAGCTTCCATTAACCGTCTGGTTCGACCACTGTGCCCTGGTAGGACTTCGGTTTGGCTCAAACCGCCCGGACATGGGCCTCTTTATGACAAAGTTTGTTGACGAAGTGACGTCTCTCGACACCGTAACCTGGCAGAACGACTCCACTGTCATGACTTCCAAGGTCCACGCTCTATGCTGCTGCGTGGACGCGCCAACGCGGGCTGAAGTTAGCAACCACACCCACTTCAATGGGTACTTCGGGTGCCCCTGGTGCTTGGCTAGTGGTGAGCACATGGGGGGTAAGTCTCTTGTTGTTACGTTCTGTACACTGTTTGCTTCTCTTTTCCTGTTGGTCGCGCTCATTGCTTTTGGACTCTATTTAAATCTGCCAAGTCAAACTCTGCTGCTTTTGGTTTACACTTTTAGGAAGCCTGCGTTATCGAGGCGCTGTACCAGATGAAGAGAGGACACCTTAAGGAGGTGCTGAGAGACATGAAGCTGGCCCTGCAGAGTGGGGTGTCAGTCAACGGGGTCAAGGGACCTTCTCCTCTCGCCACCCTGCCCAACTCCGACCTGGTGTGGGGTTTCAATGTAGACTGCATGCATTGCGTCTTGTTAGGCGTCGCTCGTCAGTTCACGGAGTATTTGCTCAACTCAACTAACTGCCACGAGCACTTCTACATTGGTAAGTTTCATATAAACATATCTAGCGTGCGAGTTGCGCGCTAAATGAAAAAACTTTTGAGCGGAGATACTGTACTACTCGGACGCAAATCCCGCAGTAATTGTGAATCAGAATTTATTTTCACAAATTTAAAAACAATTGCAGCTTATCAGAAATTATTTTACGTGCATGGGTGACAGTCCATCAGATAAGATATATTAACACTGAAGTAAAACAAATAGGAGATACACACGAACTATATTTATTTTGCATGGTTTGTCTTTGCCACCATATATCCACAAAAGGGAAGTGTTATCATGGCCATTGGTTACATTCCTATTAGGTCTGGTGTAGCAGATTATGCTGTACCCTACATATCCCTCTGTTTTTGCAGCATCTACCAAAAGGCAGAGACTTTAGTTATAACCGTTTCATGCAAGCACATGGGAACAAGATGTACAGCCCTGGACGATGTAAGCTAAAATGATCTAGTGGTATCAATGGTCTCTTCCTGAAAGGAGAAGTTGAAATAGAGCTTGGCAGCACTGCAACTCGGCATATCATTTTAACAGAGAATTTGTTGATCGGCTGGCTTGAAGCATTTCCGGTGACATCCACATGAGGCACTCTTATTACGCAAGCGGTGTGATGTGCTTTCTTTGTACAAGGGAAGTGCATCACTCAAAATCATCTTCAAGTTTAAAAAGCTTTAAGATCGATGGGAACCGGGACACCACCCATCGGGTTGTGAATTGGACATTATACCAACCTAGTTAACCAGGAATTTGTCCAACGCGAGTCTGGATAGTCAACCTCTAGCTGCGAATGTTAGTCACGTTCCCAAATCACTCTCTAATGTAAAACACGCAAAGGTTTTGAACCTCGGCATTGAAAACCTGCTGGCATCCAGCTTGGTGTCTAAGCTCAACTGCCAGCTGTGCATCTCGAGCATTTGTTTACAGCCAGTATCCACCAAAGACGATGCATGCTTAGCTGCCTCGTCATTATGCGCTTTCTGCACTTTCTTTATCATGCCTGTTGATTGGAGTGCTCCTTTTTATGTATTTCTGCGTACTCGCCCACAAAAAAATACATTTTGGTACATTTGTGCCCAATATATGTGTTGCTTTGTCGGGGTTGCCATGTGATAAGAGGTGCCACCGTAGGTTTCATTTCACTGGAAGCTTAAGCGTAGGAGAAGCTACGAGAGCTAGCTCCACTCCTTGGAAGTGTCTGTCAGCTACGCACAAGGGCTCATGCAGTGCAAGACTCATTCAGGGCGACATGCAAACACGTGTAGCTTCTGCCTCACTCGCATTCATGCTAAAACCGTGGCTGAAACACCGCTTAGGTAGACGACTCTGGCTAGGCGCAGGCTTTAGATGCATTCTGCAGGGTTGCAAAGACAGCTACATCTTTGACAGGGCTTGCTCGAATTTGCTCAGATTGTTGGAGCAAGAAAGTGGAAAGGGGAAAGGTAGGGAGACTTAAAGTGCAGGGGGTCAAAACTGGGGTGCTCCTCTGAAATAACTCCGCATTTCACCCCACTCGAGTACTACTTTTGGCGGCTATCTCTTCGAGATTATCCATGACGACGTTTGCATCCACAAAATCCGCGCGAAGTTTGTTTTCTGCCACACATTCTGTGTTACCAGTGCCGTTATCACAAGAATGCAATAAAGGTGCTAATTTTTTTTTGTTTTTGGATTCACCTGGATGCACTTTGCCTTTAAGTTTTTCCTACTGCCTGCTCATGCTTATCTCTAGCTTCATTATGTAGGTGCAAGATATTGCTTCAGCTAGAGCAGTGTTTGTATGGTCAGGCTCATTCAGCTTGCACTGAGGTCACATTCTCGTCTGCATGCCCTTTCTCGCAGTACTTCAACTCCTTATTGCGAGTCTCTCAGTCATTGGTGTTCATTTCTGCCTATGTTGTTTAAGACTCTAAAACACGACATATTTGGCACGAATAAGCAATTGTTGATCATGATGAATTACCCTGATGCTGGTGAGAAAAGAAAGCTTCGAAAAGTGAAAGGAAAAAGGGGTCGGTGGCCTAGCTAGCTTGTACTACTCAACCTTTGTTTTATAAAATCACTGCTTCATCTTTGCAGCTTTAATGACTATCCGATTTCTTTCGCAGGTAGCCCATCCGTGGTGGCAGACGTCAACCAGCGACTCCTGAGCATTCGGCCACCACACTGTGTGACTCGTCTTCCCCGACCTGTTGGCGACAGGAACTTTTGGAAGGTCAGAGAATGGAGGCAGTGGTTGCTCTTTTACTACCCCCCATGTACTCTCGGCATTTTGTGACAACTCTACTGGAACAATCTCTGGTGCCTGGTGGGGGCCATTCACATCCTTCTGTCGGAGGAACTTTCCCAAGGACAGCTCAAGCATGCTAGTAAGCAGTCCGCTTTTACGACAGAGGCCGTATGTGCCTTGTAATCCCAGCCGATTTGTGGTTTGTATGACTGTGTGCTTGTTGTCATGACCAGTTGGGTTGCTAGGCATCAGCAAACTTCAACTGTAACGGTGTTGGTTTAAAGACGTGATGACTTCATGCTTCCACTGTGCTCAGTGAACATACC